CCCTTCTCCACGGGGACAGTGGACACAGGAGGTGCCCAGGGCCTTTCTCCACGGGGACAGTGGACACAGGAGGTGCCCAGGACCCTTTTTCACAGGGTCTGTGGACACAGGAGGCACACAGGACCCATTCTCCCACAGTCAGGGCCTCCTCAAGCACAGTGGGCCAGGCCTGCTCCTGCAGACACTCAGTTTGGACTTTGCCCTGCGTCCAGGGCGTCTGAAAGGAGTGATCCCTAAAGAGTCACCAGCCTGTGGCTCAAACACTTCACACCTCTCCAAATCCTGGAACCAGTCTTGCAAACGGGGTCTCAGCAGCTACCAAGAGGCACCTTCTTACAGCCTGACCCCCCATAGGCTCCCTACACCCCAACATCCCACCCACCCTGCACCCCGGTCTACAATTACTCAGACTTCCTGACCAAACTGGGACTGTGCTCAACTCACTCCCATGTGCCCAAGTGAGGCCCAGGTGAACCCAGGTGTGACCCAGGTGGGGCCCAGGTGTGACACAGGTATGACCTGGGTGAGGCTCAGGTGGGGTCCAAGTGTGACCGAGGTGGGACCCAGGAGAGGCCTAGGTATGACCCAAGTAGGGCCCTGTGGAGCGGAAAAGCCCAGTGACTGGCAGCCTGTGCCCAGCCCTGTGGTCATCTCCTTCAGGGGTGGAATGGACTGAGAGTTGGACGCATGCTGCCCACCTCCAAATGTCTGAGAGCCCTGCCCATTGGGGCACAGAGTCTATTTGAGGAAGGCCACTGGGATGTATGTCCACCCCCCAACCCACACTGTTCCCAAGGGAGAGACCAGCCATGCACAACTGCTGGGGAGGCATGTGGGGAGTATGACCAAGCAAGGCCACTGGGTCATCGGTGTCAGACCTGGCCATTGAGAACTCAGCATTCTCACCAGGCCCAGGGAGGCCCAAGGACAGGACTTACTGGTCACCGTCGGCAGGATGTGTACACCCACCCAGGAGACCCCAGGACAGAAGGCGACACCTCCCTGTGGGGACTTACCGGTCATCCTGGGCTGGACGTATATACCCGGATGAGAGGATATTAAGCGACAAGATGTTGGGGTCGATCAGAGATTCATCAGTTTCTGGAGTGTTTCGGATGCGACCTGTGGGAGGGCGTGTGTCACCCGGGGTGGACAGCGCCATCCTCCACAGAACACTGAGTGTCCACTCAGAGAGGGCTGAGGACTAGGATCTGTGCAGGGTCAGCGGTGGCCCAGGCTATTTGTTCAGGGCCTCTGGCTCCTCGCCCCTCTATTAACCCTTCTCTCCGGGTGGGAGGTGTCCCTCCAGACTTCATCTGGCCCAGCAAGTGGGTATCTGTCTGCCTGTGACTGTGTGCACCTCTGTATTTCTGTGTGTGTCTGTCTGTCTGTCTCTGCATCTCGGTGCATCTGTCTCTGTACCTGTCCCTCTTCTCTGTATTTGTGTGTCTGTCTGTGTATCTCTCTGTCTGTCTCTGTATCTATGTGTGTATGTCTCTCTGTATCTGTCTGTCCATCCTGTCTCTATCTCTGTGTGTGTATGTCTCTCTGTATCTGTGTGTCTATCTGTCTCTTTATCTCTGTCCATCTGTCTCTGTATCTCTGTCAGTCTGTCTCTGTATCTGTCTGTCTGTGTGTTTGGGTGTCTTTCTCTGGATCTGTGTCTGTCCGTCCATCTCTGTAACTGTCTGTCTCTATTTCTGTGTCCATCTCTGTATCTCTGTGTCTGTCTGTCTATGTGTGTTTGGGTGTCTGTCTCTTTCCCCCCTAGCTGATGGATTCAGAACATTTGTCTAGAGTCCAACGGGGTGTCCACAGCTGTTCAGGGCTGGGGTTCAGGGCAGTAAGGAGTACACCCAAGGATGTCAAGGCTGCTCAGATGTTGGCAGAGGAGCCAGAGTTCAAACGAGGGGGGCCGAAGTGTCCAGTCCCAGTTACCACTGGGTCATCCGCTGGGCCCAAGACTCTCCTCTACAGGTGAAGGACAGAGGTGAGGTCAAAGGGCTAGCCCAGGGTGTGGTGACAGGATGCCGCAAGGCCACTCACCCACGACCAGCTCACGGACTTCCTTCCAGCGGATGTGGCTGCCCGTCTCATGCAGTAGAGTCACGGTGAGCCTTCTCTGGATGCCCTGTCGTGGCCAGGAGAGAGGACAGTCAGCTGGCCAGCCAGCCTAGGGCCATGGAGCCTGGCCTGGGCGGACAGGGGATGAGATCAGAGCAAGGACAGGGCATGGTCTGGGCCAGGGGCAAAGATGAGGAGAGGTGGGCAAAGTGCAGCAGGTCTGAGCCCAAGGATAGAGTTGGTGTGAGGAGAGAGGTGAGGTGTGGGCCAGGGCAGGAGGCCTAGGCCAGAGGGGGCCTGGGACAGGGGAGGGCACAGATCCTGGGCAGGGGCTTCAGGGAACAACAGGGCTGGGCATCAGGGCTAGCAGGAAGCTGTGCACCTGGTGGAGCAGGAACGTTCCCATGCAGGGCATGCCCCCTCGATGGTCCACCACAGCTGGGATGTAACTGTAAGAGAGGGCTGGTGAGGTGTCCGCTCGCGTGTCTGGTCCTGGCCTGCACTCAGCATCATGCCTCATCCGGGAGCAGACAAGGGATGGAGCAGTGGGCCGCACCAGCCCCTCTCTGTCACCGATCCAGTCCACCGTTACACGCCAGGGGGCCGCAGTGCCCATCACTGCCCAGTGCCCTGCACTGTACCAGCTCCAGGCAGCCTCTGTGCTCACCACAGCAGATACACACACACACACAAAGGGCCCTTCTGTTAAACCTGCCCGTGTCTCTCAGGCTTCAGCCCCCTGTCCCATTCAACCAGAACTAAACCCCAAAGCCCCTGGCAGGCAGTGGTCCTACACCCTTCCTGGCCCCTCCAGCAGCTAAAATGGCCCCATGCAGGTCCCTACAGGTCCTCATGCAGCAGGACACACCCCTTCTTCCTCCTCAAGTAACCTGCTCATGGTGGGTCTCCCCTAGCCACCATGCAATCCCTCCAAGTCGCTGCCCAGCACCCCAGCACCTGTAATTGCTGTCCCCCCACTCCCATCAGCTCCCCAAGGCCCTGTCTTGTCCTCCTCCAAGCACCCAGCTGGGCGGCATGGCAGCTGGACCAGTAAACACCTGTGATGGAGTAGCTGTGTGCCCCACCACAGCCTCCTGGGGGTCCCTCCTCCTCCCGCCCCGCAGCCCCCCGCCCAGGCCCACACTTACTCCCCGTTGGCCTCCAGCTCGCAGATTTCGAAGTAGACTAGCAGGTCATACTTGCAGTGGCAGGGCCCTGGACTGGGCCGGGTCAGGGTGCTGAGCTTGGTGGCGGGCACTGGGGACCAGACAGGGTGGATGGACGCGGACTTGTCAGGAGTGGAAGAAGCACACGCAGGAGCAACATGGGAGAGGGACAGCACACGAGCCCACCCAAGCCCAGGGGCGCACCTTCCTCTGCTGCCCCCACCGTGCTCCCAGCACCCAGCCCAGTCCTGGCATGGTCAGCCCTACCACCCGCACATGAAGGGACCAAGGCAACTAGTGCTCCATCTGACATGGGCCTGACACCTGCATTCTTCGCAGGGGAGGGACAGTCCACCCTGAAGGCCCACTCCAGGATGTGGGTCGGGAGAGGGGAGTGAGATATGGGCAGTTCAGTGTCTGGATGGTATGGCCCACCTTGGGGGAGGATAATGTTCCAGCCTCACACCTGGACACATGGGCCAACAGCTCACCCACCTGGCTTGGACAGCGGCATGACCCGTGGGAAGTGGCGGCGTGATGGCCTCAGGGGGCTGTGGAGGATGAGGTGTGGCTGAGGAGGAGGTCCACTTGGGGGCCATCTATCTCTGTTCCCATCCCAGCAGGTGGGAGAACCCTCTCCCACCCCCCACAGGAATCTGAGCACCAGACACAGATATTGAGAGAGGACCAGGACAGAGCTTCCCTCAGCCTCCTAGTGGCCAGTAGAGCTCCTGGTCCTGTACAGCAGCTGAGGGGGACAGAGTGAGACCAGGGGATTCCAGGGCCCAAGGGAGGTTCATGGTTCTCCCACCAGACTGGAAGGGGAGGCACCACACCTGCCCACTGCAGAGCAGGAAGGTACCACTCACAAGCAGACTGAGGTGCAAGTGCTGGGTGAGGAAGGCCTCACTCTCCAGCCCCGAGCTGCAGCAGTGATGGGGAACTGAGCGGGCACACCCACGCCACTAAGACTTGGAGTGGAGGCTGCCTGGCCTGGGTGCACAGGGGCCCCGTCAGGTCACCCGTCAGAGCCTGCTTCCACCACCACCCCTGCCCACACCCTACATGGAACCCAGGTCGGGCGGGGGGCTCCTCCCCATTGCTGCTTGGAAATGCGGCCAAGGCCCAGGTGTGATCAGCTCTGAGCTGTGTCCTCTCAGGTAAAGGCCGCTGGTTGGAGAGGAAAGCAGGTGCTGGAGATCCAGGGCTCCCTAACCTGGGACCCAGGACCCTGTCTGCGGCATGAAGGGCTGACTTACAATCTGGGAAGTGGAGTTGCCCACCCTACTTGGCCTCCCCAGCCTTCAGACTCCTTTCTGATCTTCTTTGCTCCCCCCACCCCGGACACCCACCTGAGCATGTCCTTGTAGAGAGCCCCCCTCCGTGGGGCACCCACCTGAGCACGTCCTTGTAGAGAGCCCCCCTCCGTGGGGCACCCACCTGAGCACGTCCTTGTAGAGGGCACCCCCGTGGGGCACCCACCTGAGCTTGTCCTTGTAGAGAGCCCCTCTCCATGGGGCACCCACCTGAGCACATCCTTGTAGAGGACCCTGTCCCCACCCCGGGCACCCAGCTGAGCGCGTCCTTGTAGAGAGCCCCTCTCCGTGGGGCACCCACCTGAGCACGTCCTTGCAGAGAGGGGGGAATGGGTGCTGCTGGTAGTGCCCAAAGACCTCAAACACGATGGGCTGGCTCTTGATGTATTCGACGAAGGACTTGGTCACCTCCACAGCGATCTGGTGGCACCGCAGGGCAACAGAAGAGTCACAATGAGTGCTCCATCAAGGCTGGCCAGCCTCAACCAGGCCAGCACTCTGCTGAGGCCTCCCTAAGCCCGTCCCACCACCCGGGGACCCCCGACAGACAGGCCTCTGCCTTTGTCACAGGCCCATTGGGGACTAGACCATGGCAAAGGACTGTGGCTGTCTCTGTGGGCACTGATCCATCTCAGACCCTTGCCCACTCCCCATGTGTCCTGCTAATAGATGGGATCTCATGTTTGGATATGAGGACCAGAGAGCCCACCACCCTACTGCCGGGACAGGCTGTGGAGTTTGATGGACCCAGACATCAGAAGGCCAATAATGAGTTACATTCCTACTCAAAATTCCTCTACCTGCAGGTCCTGGGCCACCACATCAGCACACTGCTCGCATCCTGGCCCCTCACCTCGTGTACAGCGAGGAGCTACCCCACCCTGAGGGCCTCTGCTCTCTATGTCCTGAAAGCCTGGCACACAGGCCCTTCCCACCCACACAGTCCTCTCTCTTCCAGGAGAGACCTCTGTGCTCTGCCCTGTCTCTTCTCCGACATCCAGGCCACGACTTCCTAAAGGCTCCTGACTCTGGGAGTAGTCCATAAGCCTCATCCGGGCACATGGTTGGTGTGCGGGAGAGTGAGGTTGGATGGTGGGGAAGATGGTCAATGAGGAGGGTGACTGATAGGATGAATGGGTGGTGAGGAAAATGGACAGCAGGATGAATGAATGATGGGGATACAAATCAGTGAAGAAAATGGTCAATGAAGAGAATTGATGATGGGGAGAAGGGCTGGTGGGGAGAATGAACAGCACAGCAGAGAACAAAGAGAATGATTGATGAGAGAGTGGACAGGAGGGAAAACAAAGACAGAGAGAAGGGATGGTGGCGCGTGGGCCATGGGAAGAATGGAGAAAGCGGAGGACAGGCAGAGTACACAGTGGACAGATGCTGAGAGAAAGGACAATCGAGTGTGGGCCATGGGAAGAACAATGAGAGAGCGGAGGACAGGCAGAGTGCACAGTGGACAGACGATGGGAGAAAGGACGAAAAGGGGTCACGCGAAGAACAATGAGAGAGCAGAAGACAGGCAGAGTGCACAGTGGACAGACGATGGGAGAAGGGACAATGGAATGTGGAACATGGGAAGACGAGCAAATGACAGGCAGAGTGAAGAGTGGACAGACGATGGGAGAAGGGATGACAAGGGGCCATGGGAAGAACAACGAGAGAGGGAGGACAGGCAGAGCACACAGTGGACAGATGCTTGGAGAAGGGACGACAAGGGCCATAGATGATGGGTAGGAAGAAGGCAGTCTTAGTGGAGAGCGCAAGAATGGACATGGGCTCTCAGACATACGTTCTGGACGTGGTAGAAGCCCAGTGGAGGGCCCCGGCCAGTGTTCTTCAGCGGCTCTGTGGAGAAGGCTTCATCGTGGCGGTGGATGAAGCTACAAACCAATAGGAGAAAGGGCTGGGCCCAAGGGAGCTTGGAATGGGGAGGACCCCACACCCTGGTTGGAGGACAGAAGAGGGCATGTGGACATGATGCTGATTATGCCCCTCCAGGCCTGTCTTAAGGGCCAGGAGCAAAGCCCAGGAGCGCGTCACAGACTTGGGACAGGAGCTCACTTGAACTGGCAGAAGATGTCGGCATATTCGGCAGAAATGCTGGACGCCTGCAGGACAGTCACGCGGAAGGTGAAGGTACTGCCCAGGCGGAGGTGATCCAGGGCAGTGTCCAGGGGCCCGTCTGGTGCGGCTTTTTCTGGACTGTCCAGAAGGAGCCCATCAGGAGTCACTGACGCTGGAGGTCAAGAGAGAGGGACGTGACAGGGCACCTTGGGGAGGTCCATGAAGGCTCAGCTGACCACACAGCTAGGGGTGGGGTCTAGAGCATATCAGCTGACCCACATCTTCACATGCCTTGATGTCCTGGACAGCAGGACCAAGGCCACCTACCTGAGCAGGTATTGTTGTTGACCTCATCTGCAGATGGCCCCGTGTCCACGCCCTGGCCCTGGCCTTCCACAATGCGCAGCTCTTCCTGGGAGGTTCCCGAGCGGGACATCCCCACCCCTGGGCAGGACTCAGACTGGAACTGCATAGAGGAGTAGGGCGCCGAGTCAGGGGTGACCTGGGACCCAACAGTGTATCCTCCTGGTCTGGGGATATCCTTGGTCCTGTCTAGAACCCTGGGAGTGTGGGCTGGGCCCACACAGACCTGCGTCCAGGCCTGCCTTGCCTTGGACTCTATGGTCTGTGACGTCTGAAGGGTGAGCCCTTGGTAACAGGTCACCCCATCCTTCAGCTCAATGAGAGAGGACAGTGGGAAAGGTGGAAAGAAGAGTCGGACATCCACTTATGCCCCCAGCGTGGACCTCCTTGAGCACCCTTGGCCCCTGCCCACCTTGTCCTCATGGTACCTTTTCAAAATGCTGGTCGTCAAAGGAGATTTTGGCAGTTCCTGATTGGCGGACACCAGAGCCATAATCGGGAGCTTCTTCATCAGCTGGAAGACAAACCAATCAGGCAGCTGAGACCTGCTTGTTCCCAACAGATGAAGGCGCCCAGCACTCGGCCCAGCAGGGCCGGCCAGGACCAGACCAGCAGCAGGGCTCCAGTTCACACTAAGGCAGCCGGGCCTGACAGGGTCCCAGCACTACCCACCGCAGCTCCGTGAGCCCAGAGCTTCAGTTTGTGCTGCTGCTGCTGGGTGTCCGTGGGACAGTCCACTCTGACCAGGGCCATGGACTTAGCATCTTATCAACCAAAACCCCAGTAAACGAGATAACCTAGAAGAAATAGATCAATTCCTGCAAGCGTACAAATGACCTACGTTGACTCCAGGAGAAACAGAAAATCTAAGCAGATCGGCTGTAGGAAGACTGACTCCGTCATCAACAACCTGCCAACAGGGCAGCGTCTGGGTGCACGGCTTTCCTGAGGAGCCAGCCAACCATTTCAAGAATTAGCAGTGATTCTGTCTACATGCTCACACAAAGCAGGAGAGGCGGCTCTGGATTCGCCCTGTGACCAGCACCATCATGATGCCAGAGTCAACAATACCACAGAACAACCCACCGGCAACATTCCTTATGAATATACATGCAAAAAATCCTCTAGCAAATTGAACGCAACAGCTACCAAAAGCGTTACAACCGTGATCAAACAGGACTCACCCTCAAACCCAAGGATGTCTCTATAAACAAAATGAATCAATGAAATTAAACAACAAAACCCCAGTGGCAGCGGGACAATGTTGACTCATAGTGACCTCAGGACAGACTGCCTCAGTGCCCACAGATGCCATTCTCTATGGTGGTAAACTAACCCTAGCCTTAACCCTAAACCTTTAACCCTTTAACCCTACCCCAACCCCAACCTCAACCCCAACCCCGACAGCCATATCTGTCTCCCATAGGGTGGCTAGTGGGTTTGAACTAGAAACCTCTGGGTTAGCAAGCAGCCAAGTGCTTGGAGCGCTGAGCCATCAGCTCTCTTAACCAGTGGACTCGCCATGTCCATGTGGTTGCTCGGCTCCATCTACCAACACTTGGTCCCGGTGCTTTAGGCTCACAGACAGAAAGAAAAGCCAATCGGAGCAAAAAGCCTCTCAGTCATCCAAATCGGTGCAGAAACGGCCTTTGCCAAAACCACACTCCCTTGATAGAAGCACTCAGTAACCCACACCTGGCAAGGAGTTCTCTCAGCTGATGAAAGGGGTTTGTCCCTAAGCCACAGCAAGCACCATGCTCAGTGGATGGCCACACAGTGCGCTGCCCTCACGCTGCCTGCTGGGCCGGGGTGAAATCCAAAGTCCCTTCACCTGTTACCCAAGGGCCCAGGCTCATTTCTGACACTCTCATTCTGGCCACGTCAATGGAATGCCATTCCCAGGGAGCTTGCAGACCCTCCCCCAGCAGTCAGGGCCCCTGTCACATTCCATCCCTCCTCCTCCTCCTTACAGTGCAGCCAGGGGCCCCACAGACCACACTCCTGACATGAACCTGGGCTCCAGGGCAGCACCAACAGCCCCCCACCCCGCCATTACTCAGTGCCATGCAGGCCCAGACACAGGTGTGTGGGGTCAGTCCAACCTCAGTGCCAAAGCCCCATGCCTGCAGCTGTGACCTGAACCCATGTAAGTGGGTGACCTGTTTGAAGTCCCCTTTGTCAACACAGCCACTTAACTGCAGGAATCCCAAGTGGCCCCACTAGAGATCAAGGTCAACCCCTAAAGCAGCCTGCCTGGCAGGACCCAGGTGCACTCACCAGCCTTGTGGGACTCCAGGAAGGAGCAGGGAAGAGAAAAGGGTGAGAGTGATGCCCACCTCCCCACACAGGCCCCTCCTCGGGACAATGCCACCGCTGCTGGAACCAGCTCTGGGTACTGACTCCTCTCTGCCTGCCTCTGGCCCACCTGGCCACCTGCACACACCTGATGTGACCTGGAGCCCCCATCCCCCCTGGCCTCCTACACACAACTGATGTGACCTGGAGCCCCCACCCCACCTGGCTGCCCGCACACACTTGATGTGACCTGAAGCCCTCATCTGCCCACACAGCGCCCTGGAGATGTGTGCCCCCACCCCACCTGTCCGCCCACACAAACCTGAGATGGCCTGAACAGCCACTCGGAGGAAGCCCTTGACCTCGCCCTTCTCGCTGACGATGGCCACACGGTGCACCAGCGGCACAGGGTACAGCAGGTTGCTGAGGTACACGAAGGCCCTGGGAGGGGAGAGGCAGGGGTCAGGGCCGCTGTGCGCTCTGGCCGGTAATGGCAGCACGGCCAAGTCACAGGACGGCCAGGGCACGATGGACACAGGACTGCAGAGCAAGCGAAGCGTCACAGCCAGCAGGACAGTGAGGCAGGTGGACAGCTCGGCAAGGGGTTAAGATGGACAGTGAGTGCACACCACCGTACCTGTCCAGTGTGAGAAGGCCGCGCGGGCGGGAGGGGTCCAGCCTGCTTGGAAGGACCGGAGGCCTCGGGCAGGGCCGCACTACACTGACACCGGTGCCAGCGGGAGCCCCCACCCCTACTAAATGCCAAGCCCTGCCCTGTAGTCAATTGTAGTCAAGCAGCCACGGCTCTGTGAGGACAGACAGCTGTCCACGCATCCACAACTGCGAGTCTTAATAGGACCACGTCACCACACTCTCCTGTGGAGCGGTTGGTGGGCTCGGACCGCCAAGCTTTTGGTTAACTGTCAGACACTAGCCACTGTGGAAACATAGCCCCTCACCACTAAGTCCACGCACATCCTGCTGCTGTTGGCTTAGCTCCCTTCAGGGGCCACGCCCCGCTGGGTTTCCGGGGCTGTGGATCCAAACCACCAACCGTCTGAACTACATCACCATCCTTACTCCTTCGAGTCCGTACCTGACACAGCAGGGACACCCCAATGTGGGCGGTCTGGTGTGGACAGCTATCTGGCAGGTCCCTGAGGCTCAGCCTCTGCCCACTTTGGACTTCAGATGCCCTGGCTGTGGAGGTGGTAGACAAGCTGGCCGGGACAGAGACCCTGTGTCCCTTCCAGGCTAGTGGCCAGCATGACACAAACTGCCCCAAACACCCATGGCACCACCTGAGGGTGACCACACAGCAGAGGCTTTGCCCTTAGAGGGTCACCCTCTCGGTAGCACAGGTAGTGTGGCCAGTACCACTGACCTACTCAGGCTCAAGCTAGTGACCAGCCAACTCCTATCCTCCAGGCACAGCAGGGACCAGAGAGGTGCAGACATGACAGCCGAGCCCTAGGAGGGCAGGAGCCACAGACCCAGACATGAGGGAGGGGCAGGGCCAGCAGCTTCACAGTCCTCCCACGAGCTACAGTACCCCCCTTCACAGGCGGAAATCCAGACCATCAGGGTCACTGACCAAGTTCAAACTGTCGGACAAGCTACAGCCAGACTGTGCCCTGGAAACAGGTTCTTAAGGGTGAGGGGCTCCAGGGTCTCAATCAAGATTGGTTCAGCCCAGCTGTGGGCAGTGGGTGTCCCGGGCCCATTGCTGGATACAGAAGGCAGGACGCCCAGTAGATGTCATGGACTCAGCAGCATCTCTGACATCAAGTGTCCAGACAGAAATGGAGGCTTGCGGGTCCCTCTCCTTCCTGCTGTCCCTGAGCTTCGTCCACCTGGCCACAATGGTGGACTGCTCTGGGCTGGCAGGGACCCCGAGGCTCTGACCCGAGCACCCTGGGGACCCTGTGGCACTGGGGCTGCAACATGGCCTCTCCCCAAGTGTGGCCAGTCCCTCATCCTGGGTGAAGCCCATCTAGCTGAGTGCACCCTGGGCTTTGAGGTGACAAGTAGGGAGTGTGGGCCCAGGAGCCACGGCTCTACCGTCAGTCTTCCAGGCTCATAAGACCACCTGACCCCAGCAGCAGCCACTACAGGTCAGGACCCAGGCACAGGCCCCCAGCCTGCCCAGATGCCCAGTTCAGGCTCAGCCCACAAAGGACTCCAAGCTGAGGTCTACCCTAGCTCCGCTGGCACTCGGATAGCACCTTCACGAAGCCCCAGCTCACACACTGGCTGCCAGGCCTGCCCTCTGGTCAAGTCCACACCTCACACACGGAGCCCTAGAGCCTGGGACAGCTCGTTCCCTCCCCGGCCCCTCCAGCCCAGGCAGTCAGCCTTGCACCCTCTGTAGCTCCCTTCCTGTCCCCCTCCCTCTCTGAAAGAATCCACGGTCTATGGGATACCAGCCTCACTTGCCACAGGTTGCCCCTTGTGCCTGGGCAATGGGGGGGAGGTGGCTTCAAGATATACCCCTCCCCAGTGCCCTTGAGCCCCAGACCACAGAGGGGCACCCCAGAGCTGGGGTGAGAGACCGGGACTCAGGAAATGTGGCTCCCTGCGGGGAGGCCTTGCCCAGAGGAGACAGTACCTTGAAGCAGACTGCACCCGCCCACCCAGGGAGAGAGGAGACGGACAGGGCAGCAGAGCTAGGCGTGGGTGGAGGGCAGCGCGGCCACGGGGCTGGTGAGGCATATATATGCGTGCTGGCCGCGGGACACCTTTGGGAGGAAAGCAGGGCCAGGCCCTCAATTTGGCTGAGGCTTTGGAGGGAGCCAGCGGCTAGAAAATGGGTGAGGAGTTCAGAGGTGGCGTCCACCAAGAAGGGCAGGCAAGCACACATCACCAGGGATGGGGTGGGGGGCGTGCCTGCACAGCTGCTGCTTGGAGAAGCCAGGTCGTGCCAAGCTTCCTCACGAAGCCCTGGCCGAGGCCCCACGGGGCCAGCTGGCCCAGCCACTTCCAATCAACAAGAGACAAAAATGGCAGGACCCAGCTCTTTTCAGGAGAGCCTCCAAACCCCATCTCATTTCTGCCCATGTCCTCAGCACCCCGGACCCTGTCCTCTCAGGCACCTCACTCCTTCCCAGGAACCCACAAGCCATCCTGGGGCTCAGTAGGCGAGGGGCTGGCAGCTGCAGGGCGCCAGGTGTGGGGGCTGCACCTCAGGTCCCAGCAGAGTCCCCAGGCAGGACATCTGGGGCAGAGCACAGCGACCCACTCAGGGAAGGAGTTAGACACACCTGTGGGAACACCAACCTCTGGGATGGACAGGGCTCCCATGGAGGACCTGACATCAGAGGGGCTACCACCAGCCTTCAGCACTGGGTACCAAGGTTTCTAGACGCTTCTAACGGGCTAGCTCAAGACAGGAACCTTGAACTCCCAAAAGGTCTCCAGTAAAAAGACTGTGTATATGTAGCATACATACATCCTGACTCTGTATCTAACACATGGTTGAGTCCCTGGTTCCTCTGAGCCGTGGTGCTGGCAGAGTCCTCAAGACCCTGGATGCCAAAAGAACTGACAAGTTGGTCTTTCAGGAAACGGTCCTTAGAGACAAAGGTGGTGAAACGGGGTCTCACAGAAGGGGTGTACTGTGAGGAGGGGCCACTCCTTGGAAAAGGTTCTCATGCTGGAAAAAGGTGAAGGGTCAGAGAAAGAGAGCAAGACCCTCAGACAGATGGGTTGCCACAGTGACTGCAGCAATGGGCTGGAACATGGTGCAGAGCGGGAGGACGGTGCGGAACCCACCAGGGCCCACCTGTTGTTCACAGCGGCTTTGCACCTCGTGACTGACTCAGTGGTGACATTATTTCCTGAGACCCTCCTGGAGTCCTAGAGGCTGAGGAGACGTCTGAAGGTGAGGCCTCATTCCACTAACAGCCTGCTTCCGGAATCTTCTGTGGGCGGCTGGCTCCCACCCCCAGCACGGTCCTGTTTGGTGACTCTGCGTCTGTCAGTTGGGCCTGCAGAGTGGAGCCCCTGCTCCCCAGCGGTTCCTCAGCCCCCGCCTCTTCTGACCCCAGTGCTGCCTCGTTTACCCAGGAAATGGCTCACCAGCTCTCAGGCGGACCTAGAGGAGGCCGGGGCGGACTGTTCATCCTCCCCTGCCCACAGGCCGGCACTGCCTTGCTTCAGGGGCAGCTGATCCCTATCCTGACCAGGCCCTCTTGCCTTCAGTGCGCCCCCTCCTCTCAGAGCACCCCCCTCCCCAGGTTGGGGTCCACGCACTGACGGAGAAGCCCCAACAGCCGGAGGCGAGGCTGGTTCTCAGACGCAGGCTGAAGCTCCAGCTCAGCAATCCTGACCTTTCCATGTCCCCATGGGCTGGTTACCGGCTCCAGGAGGTCTCAGGGGTTTAGGGCCTGCCCGATGCCCCTACGGTGCTCCACACATATAACCCATCTG